TGAATAACGGGGCTGCCGACAAAGGGCTTTGATGTCGGCAGGGGAGCGTCCAGACTAGCGTGCTGAGCGGACAAACAGCTGATCAGCTGTTTGTCGGCTCAGCGTGGCAGCCATGTAAATGTAAATGAAGTCGCGATCATTTAAATCGCGGCTTCATTTGCCTTTGCCTATGTGTCTAATCTACATGCCTCTGACGACAGAGGCATGTAGTCTAGACACAGCCTAAGAGTCAGGAATTCCTGAGCTTCAATGTCAGCTATGACAACATATTATTTACTATTAAATCATGTTTATTATAATAGCACCTAAGAGCCAGCCAAGAATGCAGACCCATTGTGCAAGGTGCAGTACAAACATGCTGGCTATGCTGCCATGTGAGTATATAGTCTCAGTGCTTCATTTAACCAGTCTGCAACAGGGGGATAAGGTGGAGTGGGGAGGCAGTGAAGATGAATTAGAGGCTGTTCAGCACTTTGAACTCATGAGACATCACACATTGATGACTTTCTGGCCAAGTCAGGGGATAATACTCTCTGGTTATGTCTAGACTGCAGCGCTTTTCCGGGATACCAAAAAATGTTGGAAAAGCGGATGTGTTCTTTTGCCATCCCTGTAAATCTTGTTTTATGAGGAAGAAGGGATGGCTTGAAAGAGCAGGTTTTTCCGAAATGTGGTGCCATGTAGACGTGCCAATTTTCAGAAAAGTCTCTTTTGAAAAAAAAGCAGACAAAGATACGCAAATTGCGGTTCACAATTCACGTATTTTTTCAGACTTTTCTTTGTAGTGTGGATATAGCCTCTGTCATTGCAAAATGATAATAAATAATAATCACAGTAATATAGGGCCCGATTCTTGGCTGCTTGTTACAAAGCATAGCTTTGCTTTGGTTGCTCTGAGGTCCAAAAGATTCCCACCAAAACTTAATCTAACTTTTCAGAGTAAAAGCTCCTAAGGTGCCTATGTTTCAGCCTCTGGCCTCACTTGCTGATTTCTCCATCTCGGCAAATGGCTGCGTATCTACAGCCTAAGGGCTTGTCTTCACTTACCCTGAGACGGATGCTCCGTAGAGTGATCTCTCGGGATTTGATTTATCAGGTCTAGTAAGGACCTGCTAAATTGACAACTGATGTTGCCCCCATTGACTCTGTTGATGGGAGAGTTTCTCCCATAGACCTCCTGCAGTGGGGAACACCACAGCGATTCAACTTAAGGTACACTACTACACTATTCTTGTAGCTAGAGTTGTGTATCTTAGGTTGCCTTTTTCATGTAGCGTAGACCTGGCCTAAGCCCCACAGAGATTCATGAACAGGGAACATGGTCATTTGGCCTCCTAACCTGCATGCAGATGCTGCCAACTGGATCAGGTTTCATTTAAAATCTTGTTAAAGGCAGCAGTGGAGGTGCTGTCTTTCTAATTTTATCTGAGTAGTTAGAGCACTTACTGGGAATGTAGGAGACACTAAGTTCTCTCTGAGAGGGGGAGGTGGTAGGATTTGAACAGGCATCTCTGATTAGAGCACTGTGTGAGAACCCTGTTCAAACGTTCTCTCCTCCCCCTCCCCCGGCAGTGATGGGGGAATTGAACCTGGGTGTCTCACATCCCATGTGAGCATTCTAACCAATGGGATAAGAGTCAATAGGTGGGAATCCTCTTCCCCTGCTCTGGCAGTTTTGTGCAGAGTGCGGTAGGCCATCACTCCTGCAAAGGGCACGTATAGAGCTGACTCCAGGAGAAAGGATTCAGGCTGCAAATTGCTAAGCAGAGCTAGGCACCTCCCTGAAGCCTTGATTTCAGCACCTATCTCCTGGGGAGGGTCCTGGCTTAGCACACACCCCTCGTCAGCAGCTCCTATCAGCTGGTGGAGGTGGTTTTTGTGGATCACACTGATCACGTCCTCCCCCTGGTTGCTTCATTGTATAGAAATCATAATGTGGCTTTGTGGCTCACACTGTTGTTCTGGTGATTTTCTAGGTGCTGCACTGTTTAGCCAATCAGCAAACTGGGGGGACGGGACATGACCCTGCATCTCTCTCCATACGTCACCTTCCAGTTCCATGGAAGTCAAGAGAAGACATGTGCCCCTCATCTCACAATCAGCTTGCAAAGAGCACTGATGGTCTCAACAAACTCTACCTTAATGATGTCCCTTCTGGTCTTCCTTTGGGGCCTAAGCTACATAACCTGCCAAAAACACTGGCTGCAGAATCAGACGGGAACGAGCGTAGGAGGAAAGAACACACAAACGTGGAATGGCTACAGCCTGTGGATAATCCAATTGAGAGTCACATTTTACAAGCTGGTCAGAAATATTTCCAGTTTTGACAGCATTTCAGAAGTGAAGGAAGAAAAAAGACGGGGTTCATTCTCCCTGGTTTTCACATGTATTTGCAGCCAGGCCCCAGACTCCACTACAGAGAAGCTTTGCCCATCTCTCTTACCTTCTGCGGTTTGGCCAGCAGGGCAGCAGCCAATGCTGCTGGAGCATTGCTCTCGTAGCGAGGACACCAGCCCCTCCAGCTCCTCCAGTCTGCTCAGCAGATCCTTGATGTCAGGAGCAGCCGCACAGCCACAAGCCCGGCGAGGGATGTTGATGCGATGTGTGAAAACTATCTGGTTCCCCTCATTTACCGTGTGCTCCTGGTAGGTCTTGCCTGGCTCAACCTGGGTCTTCAGGTCCGTGTCCCCATTAGCTGAGTCCAAGTCCACGGAGCAGAGGGAACCCATGGGTACATTAATGTTGTAGACATGGTTGAACACCACAGACTGGTTATCGTCTGGCAAGGTTACGTTTAACCCGGTCTCCCGCTTCTGACGGATAATTCTTTTGATGAGCCCACCGTGGACATGGTGGTGCAGCAAAGCTATGATGACACAGGTTAAAACCTGCATGGGAATCCCCATGGTGATATTCAATCCCTTTGGGAAACTGGAGCTTCCTCAATGACCTTTTGCTTCCACTGTCTGGAAGAGAATTCGCAGAGCCAGTGCAAATGAAATTGGACTTCGGATCTCTTTCCGTCGGGCTTTCCCCTAGAACAACAAGGAAAGTTGCACAGAATGAGTTCCCAAAACCAAAAGCATGAAGTTTCATCGAGTTCAGGAGCATGACTGCTGACCTCAAGTGCCAATCAGCCTTCAAGTCACTGAGCATGCATCTAAACACCGCCACAATCCATCACCTTGCATCTAAGACCCCAGTGCACTTGCCAATTACTTCCCTTTCTGCAAGTGAACATAACTAGACATGGAGAGTTTAAGTGATTCACCTGGTAGCTCAGGGCTCAAAAATGGAAACCAAAATGGACACAAAATCTACCTGCCAGTCCACACGTGTAAATTCCATTGATGAGAATTTACATCACACCCAAGACAAGAATCCGGCCCTACGAAAAGAGTTTTGCACACAGTACATTTGGGAGCTATTACTGAAGGAGACTCTGGTTTTCTAAGAGTAAGAAGCAGAACTGGTCAAACACAAATACAACAAAAATCAAGATGATTTCCAATATTACATTTAATGTTGTTCTAGTAAGAAACTAACAATCCCTCCCTCCTCTCGCCCAGGAGCCAAGTGGTCTCAGGCTAATAAGCACCAGGCCACGTGAGACCAAAATCGCGTGTCATCCAGCAAGTCCCAGCCATGAAGCCAATGTTGACTATTTCCCTTTATTGACAGTTGACTTGGGGGTGGAGAGGGGAAGCAAGATCAAGGCTTCTTTGCCAACTATACGTTGTTATGTAGATCCCCAAAGGAATTTGCACCCAGCCGTGCAGTAAATGTGTATGCAGCAGAAGAATCGAGGGTGTGGACTTTGATAACTGCTCCACAGGGTGATGGGGCCACAGCAAGTTACATCTGCCTGAAATGGGTATTAGTCCAAGTGTAGCAAGTGGATTGCTATGTGGTGAGCGACTTCACTCTTTCTGGAGGGTAGGGCAGCAGGCAGGTGTGCGGGGAGAGGGGAGAAGGGCAGTAACTGGGAGAAGAAAAGAAAGAACAGAAACAAAAGCCTTTTGATACACTGGAGCTCAACCAGAGAAAGCTTCATTCACATCCACACAAGTGTGAACGAGTCTTTTCAGCAGCAGGCGACTCCTTTCACTGGGCACCATTTTCCAAGGTCTGATCTTTCATCAGCTCTTCATAAAGTACCTGCTTTTAGTCACAGCCAGATCCACCTTTCCTGCATCCCATTCTTTTTAAAATCACCTCACCACTTCTTCCCTTCCCTCCCCCGCTGCCCTCTCCAGAGGCTTCTAATTTCAAGTGGGCTGAACTGGAGAGCAGATAAAAAATATTTAACCTCCCTCCCCATTCTCCCCAATCTTCTTCTGTTCAGAATGAGCCCTTCTTCTCCCAGGCCAACATCCTCAAAGCGCTAGTTAGGCAGGTTGTTCACCCACTCCCTGATAAATCTCTGAGGGTGCATCTGCACTGCACCGTTATTTCGAGATAAAAATGTGAGCGTCGACACAGCCATTCCATTATTTCAAAATTATTTTGAAATAACGGACGGCTTATTCCGAAATCTGTAAATCTCGTTCTACAAGGAATAACGCCTATTCCAAAACCGTTGTTTTGAAATGAGGCCTGTGTAGACGCGCTCCACTGTTGCTATTTTGAAATAGCCCCTCACCAGGGCCATTCTAAGTTATTGCTCCCCAATGCCTCTCAGGGCTCTAAACTGAGATAGCACATCAACATTAGGGAAGCCTGCCTCAGACTAATTGACGAGGCTTCCCTGTTGTGTAGATCTGCTATTTCAAAATAAGCTATTTCGGAACTATTCCAAATAACCATGCAGTGTAGATGTATCCTTAATGTTTGTGTTGCTCTCTGCTCCCACAGAAGTCTTGTTAAATGGAAGTTGTGGCTGGTTTCCAAAACAGCAATTGGTCCCAGGTATGCAATGTATTTTCCCTTGCAACCTTGATTAGTTCACAAATTATCTGGAGGTGTTTAGAATATCTTGGGAGATGCCCATGTCAAACCTCAGGCATGTGCTGCCCTGTGTATAAGCAAAATTATTGTCCAAATCGACGACAAGATACAGATGGGCAAAAACTTAGCTATATTTAAAAGGTAAGGTTGGAATGTGGAAGGGGTTTCAGGCAGATTAATCTATGACCTTTCCTGATATCTTCTGCCTAACTAGCAGTAAGTTTGCTAGAATTAGGATGATATTATAGGGGTGGATATAAGCAGCTGTATTATTAAGCTTTCTGTAAATAGAGCCTTTTGCGTAACTACTCTCACAATGTCTCACACTAACAAGGATACATCTACACTACAGGCTTCTGTCGAAAAGAGCGTCTGGACTACAGCCAGTTCTGTCGACAAAGCAAGCTGTTTTGTCGAAATGAGAGTGTAGACAGAAAGGACAGTATAGATGCAATAACGCCTTGTGTCGACAGAACTCTGTCAACAAAGGTGTTATTCCTTATAGAATGAGGTTTACTGCCGTCAACAAAACTGCTGAGTTCTGTCAACGTTATGTCAACAGATCTCAGCGGTAGTGTAGACGCAGGTATGGTTTTGTTGACAAAAGTCCACTTTTGTTGACATAACCCTGTAGTCTAGACACACCCTAACTGTCTACACTACACCTTTTTCTGAAAAAACCTCATTTACATTCATACTGCAATTGTGTTCTTTCAAAAAACAATTGAAAGAACGGAGGGTTTTTTTCTGACGTTGGTAAACCCCTTTCTATGAGGATGAAGCCTTTTTCCAAAAGAGCTCTTTAGGAAAAAAGCGTATGTGGACAGGGAAGAGGGAGTTCTTTTGGAAGAAGAGGAAAGAGGAAAAGCACAGGTATCCCGGTGGCTACTCTGTCCATAGTAATCACAGCTTAAATGCGAGATAATATCCATTCAGTGTGGACGCTATCTTTCAAAAAAGTAGATCGCTTTTTCAATGCACTTTGGCAGTGTGCACGTGCTCTTTCAAAAGAAGTTTTTTCGGAAGATCTCTTCTGGAAAAGCTTCTTCTGAAAGAAGCCTGCAGTCTAGACATAGCCTAACATAACAGGCCCCTAATCACAGCAAATAGCTCAGTTCATTATGTCCCTCTACTGGCCCTGGGCATGTTTCAAACTAAGAAAGAGCACACTAGTCAGCATTACACCCCTCCAAGCTCATCCTAGGGTGAATGAGTTTAAGGTTCATCAGAACACAAAAGGGAAGTTAGGCATCCAGTTCCTAACCGATTTCAAAAGGTTTGTGTCCCTCACTCCCTTAGGCCTCTTGGAAAATCCCAGCCTAAAGGATAAGGGCTCAATCCAAAACCTGTGTACCTCAGCGGGAGTTTAATATAACTCTATGACTGTATTAAATGTGTCTCTGTAATGCAGCTGGAAATTGAAAAACCTGTTTCCTCAGTGGACCACTGTCACTCCACCACTGAAGAGAGTCACAGAATCATATGTAGATTTTCCAGAGGTGCATGGGATCCAGTGGATTAAGCTTTCAAGCTGGAGGATGATCCTGGGAGACTTACTCCCTACTGACATCTTTCTGACTTTCTTCAAGGGTGGTCTGGAAAAAGCACTCTGCTCCGCCTGCCACGTGGCCATTGTGCTGTGTCTCGGATGAATCAGATCAGATATTTCTTGTCTGATCTGACAAGGATCCAGCTTGGGGAGCCGAGTTCCCCACTTGGATCTCGGCTCTTTCCCAAGCTACTAGGCAACTTCCCTACCGGACTCTCTCAATTAGCTCTCCTTTTTGGCTGGAACAACAAAGGCAATGCTTCTCCTGCAACTCCCACCCTTCAAGCATCTCCATTCAACAGCTCAGGCCAGTAGCAACCACCCACACGGAGGCATTTCCAAAGGGAGAGATGGAAGCCAGGACAATCTGCAGCATTTGCTCTTTGTTTGCTTCCTGGCAACACATCCCTCTCCCCCATAACGTTTCTCGTGCTATACAGATCAGCAGCCAAAGGTTATAGACATAACATCCAATGGAGAGGTCTCCTAAAGATTCTCTCTATAGACTTCAAGGGGTGAGATGTTATACAGCCTGCAGCAAAAGTTTGCAAAAAAGGACTTAGATGCAACAGCCCTACACTAATGCCAACAAAATCTCTACAGTGATTGGGTGGGTTGGCCTCGCAGCCCATCATGAGGACTATATATGGTCTTATTGTTTCTCTATGTGCTCTTAGCTGTCTTTCTCTCTTCCCTTGCTATCTCTGTTTGGGAATGTCTACACCAGCGGCAAAAGTGTAGACAGACCCTGAATCATATGAGTACAGGTTGGAAAGCAAATCCTCAATCAGCAATCTCTGGCACAGGGCCACTCAGCATGTGGCTCTCAGGCTGCATGCGGCCCACTCCCCGTTTGTTTATGGCCCATGGTCCAGTTTGGATTTACATGGGCTCAACACGCGGCCCGCGGGTGGGAGCCAAAACTAAAAAGTAGTCAATAGAATAGTCTTCTGTTGAGATGTGTTTTAGTAGTTAAATTCCTGGACTGTCATTGCTCATTAAAAGTGCTGTCATATGGGTGGAAATCAGGTAAATATTGCATTTTATTATTAGCAGGAGAACTGACTTAAATGGGGCCTGTGTGTTATAATCATAGAAGCATAGAACTGAAAGTGACCTCGAAAAGTCATCGAGTCCAGTCCCCTGCCCTCACAGCAAGATGAAGCTCCGTCTAGACGAGGGGTTCCCAACCTTTTTCAGTCCCCGTACCCTGCCAGCTTTTAGTAAACCTTCCCATACCCCCTATCCAATATGAAAGAAAATAAATTCTAGACTCTAGAATCCACAGCTTTTTTCACGAACACTACTACTTTTGGAATAGTTCAATTAGGATAATCTAGTTATTTACCAAATATTCCCCGTACCCCCTTGACAAGCTTCTCGTACCCCCTGGGGGTACGCATACCCAAGTTGAGAACCCTTGGTCTAGAGCATCTCTGATAGATGTCTGTTCAACCTGCTCTTAAATATCTCCAGAGTATCACTGTGAATTTCATATCATTGTACTCCCCAGAGCTTCCAAAATTGAGTAGCCCTGCT